CTGGAGGTGCGAGGCCAAACTTAGCAAAGCCGAGTTGCCTTTGCTGGTTGCTGTGCGCAGGGACACTGGGACTGCACGGAGGCAGCGACAGCTGCGGCAGGTAAGTTAGCCCCCACGCGTTCGCCCCTCCTTCCGTCCCCAGTTCCCCTAGCTCAGCGCCCAGGGTTCTCGCGCCGCGCGATGCTCCGACCCCCAGGGCAAGTGAGCTCGAGTGTGTCTGGATCTGGTCGAAAGGTGCCTGGGTGTCCTATGCTGTCCTATGATTCTCGGAGCCCGCAGGCCAGTGCGGACCAGGTGGAGACCCCGGCACTTCAACCCTCTGGAGTGCTCTCGGCTCGCCCCCTGCGCTGTACAGTCGTGCTCAAGGCTAGAAAGGAAACCCTTAGGGCGCACCCCTGCCCCCAGGGCCACGTGTCATCCCATGCACAGCCTGAAGCGCAGCACGGAGACCCCAAACTTTAGTTTTTTAACTTTAGGGATCCATGTTGTGACCAGCTGCGGGTATTCCAATTTATCAATCTACTTTGGTATCAGTTTATTAGGTAAAATCTAAAGAGAGTTCTTGCCGCTCCTAACCAGAAGGTCCACCACCACCCAGAATTAGGGCCTTGGACTCCAGAGATCTTGATAACGTCGCCTTTCCCCACTTTTTCCCTCCTGCCAGCGGTCTGCATCTGGTTGGCGTGGTCAGTCTTACCCCCCAGGTCCCCAAATGCTGTGTCTAAAGAGATGGATGCGCTGGTACTTGAAAAGCCAGACTTGTCGCAGCAACTCCGAGGAACCCAGTCGCATCCCAGCATTTCCGTCCCGGATGTTTCACCTCCCTCCGTGGCTCTTCCATGAGGATTCAGGCTTTGGGACTGAAACTACCCCCTCATCTCTCGACCCCAACTCTGCAGGCATTTAGGACAGGTCATTCGATTTTGACCTCCTTAGGCTTTGGAGAGATTTTTTTTTTTGCCCCTATGGTTGAGTTCAGGGCAGGCGGCTGAAGTGTGCGAGACTCTGGAACCCAGAGCTGGGCCTGGCTTCTCTCATTTACAAAACCAAAACCAAAACCAAACCCCAGAAAAGATTTGGCCCATGTCTAGGCTAGAAACGCTGGTCTGGGTTTGTCCCTTGGGCCTTGGAGGTCAAGGGGCACGCCTGGTAGTTCTGGGACCCCCAGGGTGGGGGAACCTGGCTGCAAGGTGCCAGGTATTCTTTTTAATGGCCTCTAGGCTCTGGCTCCTAGGGGGAGACTTTCTAGTCCTGAAAGTCGCTGTGGGCTTTGGGAACACAAGATTTCTTGTTGGGGACTAGTAGTCTTCTCAGCCCACAGTCATCAAGTCATGTTTAACTTACAGTCCCCAAGCTCCCAATTCTCAAGCATCTTATTTCCTATTGGGGTAGAAGCATCTGGCTATTCCTTCTGCCCCACTAATTCGAGATGCTCATCTCCACCCTTGTTTCTTTTTCCTCTCTTGTCTGGAGTTCATATGAAATCAAACATAAAATATACTTTAAGAAGCCAATATATGACATCTCAGCTTGTTCCATCTTCTGTGCTTGCTTACTCTCTCCATTTTTTTTAAAGTAATGTAACAAAGGTGAGGCTTTCTCCCCTTTATCATTTTTATCATTTAATCTAGTGGGAAGTCTTATTTAAAGTCTTGGCAACTTTAGATTGCCCTGAATTTTCTGACATTCTTAGTCATAATTCCTGTCCTATCTCTCCTGGTCCATATTTTCTTTCACAAAGTCCCTGTTTATGAAGTGTCCCAAAGTGGCCATCTCGTATCAGTTGCTACATAGTAAGGATTTTTCCTCCACAAATGTCTGCAATAGTTATGTAGGTATGTCAAAACCTCTCTTCCAGCTTTTAATCTTGATGCAATTTTGACTCTTCACTGACCTCAGTTTCTGAAATCTAGTCTATTTTTTGGGGCCTGAGCTAAGGCCTCCTCACCTGGTGCATACTGCCTCGAGTGAGCTCTGTGTCTGCTGCTGTCAGAGCTGGTATTCTCATCTATCTCTTTTACTCTGCATCTCTACTACCTGACACCAAGATTATTCCCTCCCCTCTCGGTCCTCCAGATTGTGTGCACTAAGATAAAGTTCCAGGTCCCTGCTCCTTTAGGCCATTCTGTACCCTTGCAAATCTTTTATCTACCCTACACATGCATCAAAGAGAATCTTTAATTTATGTGGAGTTTTGGGGGGTGCCTTTTATTAATATAATTTCCTATATCTGACATGCATTTTTACATGCTGTTCAGGGTGACAGAAACCCTTTTCTACAACTTCCAAGCCACCCCTCTTGAAATCGTAACTCTAAATCTTTTCCTCTACAAAGTTAAGGTAATACACATATATCACTCACCCAATTTCATTGAACACAAACTTATCCATATAATAAATGTGGACTTATTTATTGCTGTAAAGGTACAATTTTTCTTTGGTAGTTTGTACATGTCTTGTTATTTATAATCATTTTAACCCATAAACTCTATAATCACATGGTCTCCAGAACATGCCACCTACATATATTAAGGATCTCCTATGTCAATTGCTTTTTCTTTTCTTTCAATTCCTCCTCCTCCTCCTTTTAAAATGAATTTCTCTTCCCCCATTTACCAGATCCTACTAACTGGTGTGTTTTCTTTATTTCTGGTTCCTGCATCTCTTTTTAAAACTCTCTTTGACCACTTCCTTTTTCATTTTCTTTCATCCTTCTTATTATTCATCCTAATATTCACCCATCTTTCCCTCTTTCTGGTTGCTTCAGCCCTGGTCCTTCCCTTTCTCTCTGTATCTCCGTGACTCACTTTCGCGGTCCACTTCTGTATCTCAGTACTTGTTAATATTCAGCCCATTCTTCCGCTGTCACATAACTTTTTCAAAACACAAATTACCACCCCTACATTTTCCTCTCCCACTTTCCTTCCTCCTCTTTTCCAGTTTGCTTTCTTTCTCTGCAGTTGTCTACCTTTGCCCCACTGCAGTTCGCCTTCCTCTTGACTCCTCCTCCCTGCAGCCCCAGCCCTAATAGTGCTCCTTTGGTCCTTTACTCCTCATCCAGTCTCTCTCCCACCTAATACTTGTCCCCATTCTCCTCTGACCCCAGTTCTCTTCTTTGTCCCCTTCCAATTCTCTCCCAGTAGTTGCTTCACTCTTTCTTCCCAGGCGCTTTCTCCAATTTCAACCTCCGCTCACGCCGATCTCTGCCCTCTCTCTCCGGTTCTCTCTTGCCTTTGCCTCCCGCTCTTCCCTCCTTCTTCTTCCTCTGGCCCTCCCCCTCCCTCCCAGCTTCCCTGCCTGGCTCGCTGCCTCCCTTGCCTCTTGTCTCATCTTGCCTGTGTTGTCTGGGAGGGGAGCCCTGCCTCCTCTCCCTCGCTCAGATCAATGCCCTGGCCACTCACTTTCTGATGTTGCACGACGGGAAATGCTTTGAATACTTACGACATGGCCGCTCACACTGATTGCCAAGATTGACAGCACTAACCATCGCCTTCACTTGTTTCAAGGGGGAAGCCCCTAGTCACCCCGCTCTGCGCGCACCTCCTGGCACCCCGGCGGCAAACTTCTGCCGGTCAGCGCTCCCCCCGCCCGGGGCGGGACACCCCCGCAGACTTGAGTTAACGGGCTGTGCCGGCCGCGGCGCTGGGGGGTTCTGCTCCCTTGCTCCCCGGGCTGTGCTAATTGACCTAGCATCGACTCCCCTTCCTTAATTTTTTTTTTTTTTTATTTGTGTCTTTCCCTTTTTCTTTAATGCCATTTACTCCCGCGGCGCAGCGCACAAGGAGCCCTCCCGTGCGGTACCATCCTGGAGCCCGCCCAGGTAACCGGGACGGAGCGAGCGATCTAGAGAGCGAGGGAGGCAGAGTATGAACGCGCGGCCCGTTTGTGAGCTACCTGTTGGGGAGTCGGAGGGGGCAGGGGGCAGGCATCCCAGGCAGGGCCGCCGGCCCCCGGTGCCTTCCGCTTCTGCCCTCCCGGGCCGCTTCGGGGTTAGTTTCCCTGAGCTGGGACTGAGGGGCTGGGGTAGGGCAGGCGGAGGGACGAGAGCTGAGCGCGCGGAGCCCTGCGAGGGCGCGGGTTGCCGGAGCGGCGGCTGCCCAGCCCGGGCGGGTTTCCGTACTTGGCTGGGGAGGGGAGAGGGGAGGAGGAGCGGGAGGAGGGCGCTCCGCGGGGCCGACGCAGAGGGGGGAGCAGAGGCTGAGAAAGGGGCCCGAGTGTCTGCCGCTCGCTGGTGGACGCGCGGATCCTCAGGATGCGTCCCCCTCTCGGAGAGTTGTGCCTTGTTCCGGAGGCGGTGACAGATCTGCGTGGCGGGCTTCTGGTTTTCTTGCCACCCCCCCACCCCCAAAATCCACTCCGAGAAAACACATGTTGTAGCTGTAGATAACTGTGCGTAGGACACTAAGGCAAAAAGGGCAGGGGAGAGAGAGACAGACAACGCAACCTTTGACAACAGAAAGCTGTTATCGCCATCCTAAGTATTCGTCCGGAAATCTGTCCGCCCTCTCGGCCCACCTTATTCCTCCTCCTCCGCCTCCCCGTATAGATATTCTAATCTATGTAACTGGGAATGATATGAAAAAGAAGTCAGGTGGCTTAGAGAATGAATTTGTAAGTCTCATGAAGTTTGAGGTAGGTATTTCATTGAAGTTTGCGCAACTGTGTGATAGAGGAAGCTTCTGTGCGTGCGTGTGTAGTTCTCTCTCCCTCCCTCTCCCCCTCTCTCTCTTTCTGTGTAAGCAAATGCGTGTGTGCTCTGAGGGTTCGGATGGGACCGCTGGGTGGTAATGCCCTCTGTGCCCACAAGAGGGCAGCATCCTGAGGGCTTTGTGAGCGCTGTTCTTTCTCGTTATCGCCGCAGTCTTGGGTTTAAAGAAAGTTATACCGAAACTTTCAAACTGATATCACATCTTACTTCATGATATTAAAAAAAGAAAGAAAGACAGAAAGAGGGTCACAAAGAAAGAAAGAAGTAAGGAAGGAAAAAAGGGAGAAGTGAAGAAAGAAGAGAGAGAGAGAGAAAAAAAAGAGAAAAGCAGGAGATCAGCCTACCCCGGGAGAGTCCTAGTCACACCAAGACTAGGGGGAGGGCTGTTTTAATTGTGGGTTTGGCCGACTGACGACTGGAGTGCCCTCCTCGGCTGTCTTAGTTGTAGCCGGAGGTCATGTAAATCGACCTTAAAAGAATGCATAAGCCATAAATTAAAATAAACCCTCACCCAAGGGCTGATCCATAAGTAGACAATATCCAACCTGGACAAAACGAGCTTTCCTTTACGAGCCGACTTAAACCGCATCCCCCCAAAGAATAGAGACTAAATGCAAAGTAAGTTTCCCAGCGAATATTTTGTTTTCTTGAAAAGTGTTGTGTTGATTCGCCGTGTGACTGACTGTGACGCCGGAGCGCTTCAGTGTTAGCCAGGCTCGGTCGGGGTGCGGGAGGTCGGGAGGACCAGCTGGGTCTCTGGGTTTCTTAACACTCCCCCCACCCTACCCCACCCGCATTTTGATTTGGAAACTTTGGCTATTTGTGGGGTTGACGCTGGCCGAGGGCGGGCGAGAGTCGAGGATCTCTGCTGCACTCTCCTACCGGGTGAAGTTTAGCGCGAGGAGTTCATAAAGAAAACCCGGGTCGCTAGAAAACCCGGCCGCTCCCTTCTCCCACCCTCACCCCACCGCCGCTCCGCCGCAACTTTGTCGGGACCCTGCGCAAGTCGCCTCCAGTTCCCTCCGCTCTCGCCCTCCTTCCTCCTCCCCCATTTTTGGACGCGACTTTTTATGATCTTTTTAGGAATAAACAAACCGAACTCCAAGACAATCCGAAACCCAAGTGCTAATCTGTGGTCCTCTTTGCTCGGGACGCTAGGGCAGTGGTGCTGGGCGGGCGGGGGCGTGTGTGAGGGGCCGCCCAGCCCTGCCTGGTGCGGGCTCGGCCTGGGAGTCCCCGGGCCCAGCGCACGGTCGCCAGCGTGTACCTTCTCCGCCCCGCGCTCTCCCACCCCGCGTCCCTGAGCTCCGCCGGCTCCCGCCGGCGCCCCCCGTCCTCCTCGGCGCACTGCCCGGGCCCTGCCGCCCGCAGTCCTCTCCGCGGACCGGCGGAGATCCGCAGCTCTGAGGCTTGGCCAGGCCGGGGGGCGGTGCTGCCACCCGTCCGGGGTCCAGCCCGTGCCTGGTTGCTCCCGGGGGAGCTACTTTCTTCCTTCTCCCTTAAAGGGCCCGTCAGAGAAGGAAAGGGGCTTGTGCAAAGGCTGCTGGGCTTGTGCTCCGGCTCCAGGAGGAGCGGCCCGCGGCTGCGGAGGCTAGATTAGCTCCGTTTCCCGGGCGCTCTGCGGAGCTTTCAGATAAAAAGAGAATTGGTGTGTTCCGAGCAGATAAAAGGTGGTTGTTGCCTGCGTGTTTTGAGTTTTATTTAAGCTCTCTTAGGCTGACCAAGTTTGAAAAGGTTTGTATGAATTACCAGATATTGAATGCTGCCCCTATTTGGGGACTAAAAATAAGTCTTCGACTGTGCTGGCGGGGCTGGGCTGTTAGCGAGATGGGCTGTCCCCGGCTGCTTCTGTGTGTGTGACCTCCTCCCAGGGCCGTGCTTGAAGTTTAGGTCTCGAGATGGCCCGAAGCCGTGGCTGCGGCGAACTGGGCTGGGCTCGGGACCTCCCGCTGCACTGTCAATGGGGCGCTCGGATGACGTCCCTGTCCGGGGCGCTGGACCCCGGCGCGCACTCCGCGGCCAGGCTTTTGGCCCTGGTGGGGTGGCCCAGACAATAGCCCAGTGGAGTCGGGATGCGAGAGTGCCCCTCTCCCCCGCCTCCCCAGGGTCTCCTGTCTTCTGCCCTTTATAGTCACATGCCCAGGTTTTCCCCCCGGTCCCAAGGAGAACAGATACAGCCCCGCCCAGTCTATTTCTAGGAGGTGGGTTTGGTGAATAAAAAGGTCAAGTGCTCGGGTCCGCAAGCTGGTCCATGGAGAGGGGGGACAGGACGGACACCTGGCAAGGACCGCCCCGCCTGTCCCCCCCACCCTGGCTGGTCCGCCCGCCCACAGCAGGCCTCCCCAGGCCACATTCTTGCACTAAGTGCGAGAGGCTGTGGGAAAAGCAATCCTGAACGGGCCAAGAGCCGGCGAAGCTGATCCCGCGATGGCATTTTGTTTTGAACAGTTGCTGGGGTTGACGTTTCCTCATAAGGTAAGGTGTCACTGGACGGTCGGCTGCCCAAATGCCACATGTATAATTAGCTTGCCCACTCAGCACCTTACCCTCAAGGCCCATAGGCACGGGCTTGGCGGACCTGGTCCGCTCAAATCTGTTCCGGGCTACAGAATTCCCGAGGGAAGGCCGAACCTACCAGGACAGCCCTGGAAGGACCTGGTACCAGGGAAGACTGTGACAGTGTAGTCTTGTCTTTGATTTCTCTCCTCTCTCTTTTTCTCCTCCATCTCTTCCTGTTTCCTCTCTTTATTTTTTGGCTGAGGGGGAACTGCTGGTTAGAGGGGTAAATGGGACACCAGCAGCAGGCTACAGACTGAATGAGGAAAGGGGATGCAGAGTAAAATCTGGCAGTATACGTCTTTTCCATAACCCTTCCATGGGGGAGGTCTGCTAGTGCCCCTCTATCTGCACTAATCCAGTAGGACCAGCCCAGGCTTGACATTGTACCTTGGCTTGGGTAGGGGCTTTAGGCTTCTAGTTTGGACTGTTCACCTGTCTGTGTGCTCCCTCCTATTCCCACGCTAGAGGTCTGAGAGTTTCTATGCCCTGATTGCAGTTTCTATTTTCCCCCTTCAGGCCTAGCCGCTTGGGGCTGCTAGTGTTCACTGTGGGGCAAGCCTGGAAAGATCTGCAGTCTCTTCCTGTATCACTCTTGTTCAGCCTGGGGTTCTTAGGAGCCTTGTTTTCTCTGTACCAGAATGGTGCCTGCACTTCCTACCTAGCTTCTCAGACCCCAGCCTCAGGTCAGCTTTAGCCTGCACTCTCTGGTGGAGACCAGATTTCTATAGCTATGAACATGACCTTCCCTCTTTCACCCTGTGCAGTTACCGTGGAATTCAACACTCAGCATTAGGTACATTCATCAGTCTCCTTCCTCCCCTTACTCCTAGGCCACTCAGTTATGTCTGATACCTATTCTCTTTATTTTAAAACAAACAAGCAAACATCCTAAACCTTCCACAAGTTTAGTGGGATAGTGTTAGCTTTTCTATGGCAGCAAGAGTGCACCTGTCTGTGGGAGAGGGAGGACACAGTTTATTTAGTTGCATTTGCTTTTTATTGAACCAGTGAAGTATTTAATTTTCTTTTAGTAGACGGAAACTTATGACTGAATTTTTAAAAACTCTACCAGATCATAAATGAATTATCTATGCACTATTGAGAATATCTTCCTGAATACACACATGTGAGCACATGGATAGTAGGCCAAATGACATGTAGATTTTTTTCTCCTACATTTTTGAAAACCTTATAAATAAAGAGGGATTATTCCTGTTCTAAAACAACAACAAGAACAACAAGACCAAGAACAACAATAAACAACCAAAAAAAAAAAAAATCCTTCAGACTCTGAAAGCAAGCAAGTATGCAGCACACATATTAGATCTAGTTTATGACCAAAGGCAATAAGAAACCAGGATCTAGACAAGTGATAGGTCATTAATTCCTTAGACAAACTGACATCCCCTGTCACTTTTTCCCTGTACCACCAACACCCCCTTTCTTCTCTGCTCTCCCACCATGTTCCTTTACTTTTAGTGACAAAACTCCATAGTTTTTTATTTATCATTTATGCTGTTTATTGTTGTTCTTAGTTTTTGTTTCGGAAGTAATGAAAAGGAATTTTCTCAGAGTCTATATATTTTTTAAAAAGCAGAAATATTTATAAGTTTATTATTATGGAACATGGTACAAACTCCTACAATAGTACATTGTGTAACTACAACACTCAACATTATACTATAAAGATAAGTGTAAAATATATTAAATAATAATAAATTATATATACTATATATTATATGTAATATATTATATATATTATATTAAATAATAAAGCAGTATGAATATCTATACCTTCAGCTATTTCTATTCTATAATGAATTCACTAACTGAATACCTAGAAGAGGTGACATTCAGTAGGAATATTATACTGTCTATTGGATATTTTTTCTTTAGTAGCAGAAAGTAACAGATTTTTTTTTTTTTTTAGTAAGGGAAAAGCATACATTTAAAATTTGTTAACATACTTAGCAAATCTTTCTTTTATAGGGTCTTAAAATATATTACTTTAAATACATATATGATATTTTTGGTGTCATTATTGAGATTTTATGTCTGTTTTATTTGACTTTTAGGAATTATTGGGTGGTGGCCCCTGATGAAATTGCTACACATCTTATATTGAAGAAATTAGTGATGTTTTAAATAATTCACTTTCAATTAGTATAATAGGTACTGGAATAAATGAATTTTCCTTTTAACAAGGTTTAATATACATTGGCTTTAACCCTTTCAGTATTTCCTGTACTTTCCAGTTTTGTTAGATTATATATCTAAGTTTGAAATAATTCTCTTGTGAGACAACTCATACACACTTTTTCACTATTTACAAACAGCATTATATAAAAGAGTAGTATGGTACAACTAAAACTTTGATCTAAGAGCTATTTGTTTAAATATAGTTTAGGGGTGCATATATATCAATTGATGTTTTTGAAGTCAAGTGAAACATTCCATCCAGCTAATGTGTCTGAGAGTACCATATCAGGCACAGACAGGTACTAGAAATGATAAAACACAGATAACATACAGCAAGATGATTTGCAGATGGGACGTATTATCTGCTGTCATGAAGTTAGATGGGTCATATTTCTGTTTTTTTTAAATAAAATTAATCTGGGTTATTTCAGAATTATCAAGTTATGTGGATATGTGAGAACAGATTTTATTATAGAAATCTGCAAATAAGTGAACAAATATTCATTGCCTTTTAGAGGAAGAAATGGACTGTCTTTGCATTTGAATTGCTTATTGTTTAAGAAATATGGCTTTCTCCTATTATTTTTTTCCTAAAAAAAGAAAATAATATATTGAACATTCTATGTTTTCATCCTAACTCCACATTTTCTACTGATTAAATTATATTCTGAATCTCAACATATTCAAGTTAAAAAAAAAAAAAGCTGGCACTCTGGTATAGCCTATAAAAAGCAATTTTTATTAGATGTAAGTGCATTTTAAATATACAGCATATCCTTTTTGCCTGATATTTTTCAACTGTGATCTGAGAACTAATTGTTTTGGTAAGAGTTATATCAGAAACTTTCATCATCCTCTCA